TTATAAAGATGATATTTAATTGGATTTGATAATACAAGATATGCGATTTCAAGCTATAATGACATATTTACTCATTTTTGTATTATATTTTTGAGTAAAATACTTACACTTTTAAAATTTTAATCAAAATTATATGAAAATTTATTAATTTTTTTTTAAAATATTTTGTTTAAAAAAATTATTTTCAATGAAACATGTAGGTCCAACCATTAATTTATTTGTACTAATTTGATGATGTGATAAGAGCAAAAGAATTATTTTATTTTTGATTAATTTTTAAAATTATTATTATATAATATTATTAAATTTTTTATTAATTAAAAAAAAACTCCCATATTGAGTTTATATGTTTATTTTACCTATTGTTGCAGGAGATCGTAAAAGGGCTTCGGGAAATCAGAGGGTGAACGATGGTGAGAGAGAAAACGAGCCCTGGTTTAAAGATCCTCTGGCTCTGGGCCATCGGCACCGCAGCCAGTTAGCTCTCGTCCTCTTTAAAAATCAATCTATCTTTCTCTGTATATAAATTTTGCACGAATGTTACCTTTATTTTTTTCTTTTTGGTGCAGTTTTGGTTACAAATGTAGTAAGGACTAGAATAAGAGACATGGAGCAAATAATGAATGCTCAACAACAGCAACAAGAAAGTGCTGTTCCTGATTCAGTTATAATTGACACCAGGCCGGAGTCCAATGAGGGAATTGTTAGAGAAGTTAAATGATAGGTTTAATTTCCATTTCCGTTTCTTGTTGTTTTCTTTTTGGATTTTTGAAGCTTGATTTCTTGTTAAGTGTAGATTTTTTGAAATGGGTTTTGGATTTGGGGTTGAGTTTATGGTTTGTATTGATGCATTTTTGAACTTTGTGAGAGTGTCCCATGTGTTTGTTGAAATGTCTAAGTGAATTATTTAAGTTCAGTAATGGGGTTTCCAGGAAGCTCTGAAAAATCTAATTTCTGATTCCAAGTTTTTTAATGCAATATCTTAGTTTTTGTTAATCTTAGTGAAACTATAATCAAGAAATGTACATTACAAACATGCATTATGAATATAACAGTACATTAAGTCTACTTGACAAATAAAATTGGTGGTTAGGAGATTACTTGAATTGCTTATAAGTTTTACCCCATCGTCTGTAGCTTTGAATTTTGCACTATCATTATTGTATGAGCTTATAAAAGATAAGGATATAAAGCTGAATATAGGACAATTTTTGGCAATAATTTGTATGGAAGAATCCAAGTTGTATTGATAATTTGGCCTCAAAACGTAGTGGTTAATCTAGGGATTAATCAAACTTTTGTCTTTGATTGGTTCCTACATACCTTTCATGCTTAAATGCAGCAGGGATAGGTATCTTGTCAGTAGATTATTTGAAGATTTTCAATGGGAAAGACCAAGGGTGCTTTCTAGCTTCTGTTTGTGCGTTCCGACAAATAACATAGATAGTTTTGTCCATGGATTGGGGTTACAAAGGTCCCAGGGAACTTAATACTGGTGCGTCCTAATACTTCTTCGTGCCCTATCAGAGATACTTGCAAACATTTGGGTGGGGGGGGTGGTGTTGTTGAGAAAACACTTAAATCCTTGGTTGTGGGAATATAAGTGACATTTTCTTATCTTTATGAATTCTTCCAAGTCAGTCATCCCCCATTTTAATGAGCTAATCCTTTTTCCAGTTAGAATGTTCTCTGGTAGGATCTTGTTTCAGCAGTCCAGTATTTGTTATAGGCCTTATGCATAAATGATCATCCTAAGTAATACTATTTATTGTATTCTTCATCATCCCAACTAGGGATTGCAGATCTCATTCCACTGCTTCACACTGTTTGCAGATTTTCTTCATGGATTTTACCTCAGCTGCCAGTGCACACTACTCTTCATCCATTGAGGTCTGAACTAATAACTAGTTCATAGAGCCAAGAGTGCAATTTTGAATAAAAATGCTCTCATCTAAGTGAAGGAAAAGTTGATCTGTTCTGGTGGGTTAACAAATCTTATCGCAGCTGAATTTTATTGTTGTATTTCTTCTGCTCTGGTCTTATTATGAGGAAGTGTCTACTCAGGAGGTTTCATGTGTACTGACATAGTTTTATTGCTGGTTTTGAAAGTTGATACTGATATCATCGGCAGCATACTTACTTTACTAAATGCTGCTTCCAATATTCTGTAGAACTTATAAATTTGCATAAATTATTCTTGTTCTTCTTGCCTTCAGTTGTGTCTGTCTATCCATTACAATTCACAACTAAATTAATCAGCAAATTGGTCCGTAAAACTATTTTAATGATGTGTGGAGCACGTGAAAAATATTTGAACTGAAGTACCATCGGGTTGTTAGGACTCAAGAGGTAAGAAGAGTTTGATTAAGACAGTAAAAACAAAAGAGGCTGTCTTGGTGTAATGGCTTGCAGAGTTAAGTGTGCTGCTGTACCTGTCAGTGTTTATATTTGGTAAAGTGTTAGGCACACGCTCTTGGATGCGTGTGCCTACCACTACTCTAGTGATATCATTGATTGCAATGGGGGTTTTTGTCGCATCAGGGACCATCATGGTTTAAATGATACAAAATCTTGTGAATTTAGGTTGTATACCATCTTTCATGATCTCTCATATAGATTGTTAGGCGGGGTTTGTTTCTGGTAATTGAGCTGGCATCAGGGCCTTTTCACCTGTTTCTGAGGTGGTGGAAACAGATGAATTGTACTACATATAAAATCTCGGTGGCAGCTGTCTTGAACGCTGATTGTTGAAGTGAAAGAAGATGGAAACACAGAGCCATCTATAATCGCATCAGGACAAAAAAGGTCTGTGATCCCAGCCCACAGTTGCGTCTTGGGTCGACATAACTTTTCAAGCTAAAGGGTCATGTTTGCTCTTCCGTGCTAGGTTTCTATGACAAAACAAAAACAGAGAACAGGGAGTGTGGCGCTTTTGTGACCATTCGATCTAATTTTGTACACGTGGTAAGATCTAAAGGATGGACACACTGTCATCGTTCTGGGACCAGTGTATATGTTGTATATTTGAGTGTTTACTTGGAGAATTAAAAAAGTTCTTTTGTGTTTTGTGAGTAGGTCAACATATGATTGGATGTAAATCAAGCTGTCCTAGTTTGATGATCTATTTTTTGAAAGGTAGATTGCCACCCTACTAAGTTGTCCTATGTATGAATTGATGATAATACTTAATAATTCTACTTATAAGTTACAGGATAATGAGTCCTATAAAATTAAATTTATAAAAAAAAGTTTTTGTACTATGATTATTTATTCAACTATATGTCTCAACTTTTATTGTATTGAAATGAGCATTTGAACTTTAATTTATGGTTGTGTTTGGTATATTGTTGATAATGTGATTAATGAGAATGTGATTGTTGGGTATATGATTGTTAGGAATATAATTTTACAGTGTTTGATATAACAAGAGAGAGTGATAATTGTAGGGAATGAGATTGTTGAAAAGATTATATTGTAATGTTTTCTTTGTAACTACTTTACAAAAAATTTAATGTAAATTGATAAAATTATCTTTATATATAAAAAACATATAAATTGAATAAATTTATAATTTTTAATATAAAATTTGACTTTTTAACTTTAAATAAATAAAATAATAAATAATAATATTTGAAAATAATATAATATTTTTATTTTTATAATTAATATATATTAAAAATAATTATTTTTTATAATAATGCCTAGAATTATTACAATAATAATAAACAAATTTAAAAGAGATTTCTATTTTTTTTATCTTTGAATTTATTTGGCTGATTATTGATGAATTTTATTGGAATTTATACAAAATACGAATTTTAATAAATAAAAATAATATTTTATAAGTTTAATTTGATATAATAATAAAAAATAAAAAATTTATTTTAAAAAATTTTAACCAATTTCCACGAGGAAAAAATATTTTTCCTTTTCCTTTTCCCTTTCCCGTCCCTTTCTTCTTTCTCTTTAATCCTCTTTCTCTTCCTGTCGGCAATCCTCTTTCCCTTTCTTCTTTCATCTTGGGCTTTGGCCTAAATTGTGAATGAATAGTTTTTCTGTATAGGGGTTTCTTGGTTTTTATGTCCTGTTAAACTAGATTTTCTGAAAGGCTAAGTGAATTTTTAGTCCTTGCAAATGCCTTTTTTGTGTGTTTGCAAGACAGTTTTCGATACATTTGACCGTAACAATTATCACATAATCACGTTAACTTGTTAAGTTATATCTCATATTTTAAATTTTTATTAAGATAAAAAACTCATTTGAATTTAAATTTAAATTTAAAAACTCTTTTGAATGTACTAAAAAGGGTCATAATACATTAGTTTTTTTAGGTTTAAACTAATAGTTTTATATACAAATAAGAAAAGCACGTGTAGAATTGGATAGGATCGGAACAATCTTAATCACCATCTCTATATTTGCTTATCTTATGCATTTTTATACTTTGTAAGCGACGTTTCCCATTCTATACTTTAAAAAAATTAATAAATAATATAATAATTAAATTAATATAATATAATTCTATACTTTTGCTTGCCTAATTTTTAAAATAATAATCCGATTGGATTTAAAATTTAAAATCAAAATTAATTGTTTGGAATTAATTTTTAAAAAAAATAGATGGGCCCAAGAGGGTAAAATTCACATGAAATTTTAAAACATGAAAATCTAAGATTTCAAATTGCACGAAAATATTATGTTTTATATGAATTGACTCACTTAATTCATGAAAAACCTATTTATATAATTAATTATATTAACAAACTAATTCATATTACATAACATATCTAATTCGTTTAAACTCATTTGTTAAATTATTAATATTTAAAATACATAAAATAATTTATTACTTATACATAAAAAAGATTCCTTTATCTAAATAAATTAATGATATAATATTTAAATAAATTAATCGTATTTAAATGATCGCGGAACCTGCATGGTACACCGTTACATATCCTTATCGTTCACTCTCTTTCTTTGTCACCCTTTTTTTTTTAAAAAAGTAATAAAATAATTATAAAATCTTTGTCCAAAAACTATCGATCAGCCAACTCTTGTCTCTCTCTCTCTCTTTTCTCTCTGTCTCTGTGTGTCTCTCACTCAAAAATCTCCCAAATCCCAGAGAGACTTCCCTCTCCTCCGATCCTTTCTTCGTCTTGGTTTATGAGGTACTCTCACGGCTCTTTCTCTCTCTCTTGATCTGTAATCTTCTTTTCTTGATCAGAGATCTGTAGTTTTGTTTGGGAAAGCGAGATCGATTCGCTATTTGTTTCATAATTTTGGGATTTTCTTAGAATTTTTTGTTATTTTTTCTTTTTTGTTTTGTGTGTTTGGTTTGTAAAGTTCTTGATTTGATTCCTGATCATTTCTAAATATCAATTAAATAGTAGAAAAAGATTTCGTCGAGATTTAGTTTTTTATTTTTTTATATTTTTCGCTCTAGGGTTTTTTTTGTCGTGAAGACAAATTTAGTTAGTTTGGGAGAATTTTCTTGCCTTGATCCGTTTATATCTTAGGCTTCTTTGAAAGCTTTTCTTTTTTGCAAGTTTTTGAGGGTTTGTTCAGAAAGCTTTTCTCCTTTGTGTTTTGATTCTGTTGCTATTTTGTTTTTATTTAATCTTGATTTCATTGAATTGGCTTGTCTTCTTCAGTCCATAATAGCCTTTTTCTTTAAGATTTGTTCATTTGGTTATTTAATTTATATAAAAAAATAATTGTTTTTGTTCAAGAAATGTTCAATTTTTTTTATGACATACTAATTGGTTTTAATCCTTTAATTCTGCAGCTCGAAGGAGAAACCCACTCTTGGGTAAGTTATTCTATTTTTGCAAAATGTTCTTTGTTATTAGAGCTGACGTTGTAAAAGAAAAATAATTGGGGGTATCTGTAACGTTTAGTACTATGAGGCCTTGATATCAGTTATATGACCTGTATGACGAACTTTTGAAGTAATGAGGAAAGATAATTTAAGAATGTCAATAGATTCAAAGGTTTGGCACTCTGTTTTAGTACTTATGCTTCTCCTCCGAAATGAATAATTCTTATGGCTGCAATTTTTTTGTTATCCTTTTATATGAACCTCTTTATGATTTAGTTTTCCTACCATGAATTGTTATTCGATTTTTACTCGACATAAGGATGGTATGATCTTCTTACAGTTTGTCATATTTCTTGGTGCTTGTTTCTTGATTTCTAAATAGGGAAGCTTTATACTTTCTGCAAGTTATCTTTGTGTTATGTTTGGTATAATAAATCAAAATTTTGCACCTTTCCTTTTTTTCCTTCAAGAAATTTTGATTTCATTATTCTATAATTCAGGGTTATGTTTAATTTGTTTTGATAACTGTGGGTGCTTACAGGACCTTGACAAAATAGGAACTTGTTTTGTCATTTATGGTTTGAATTGGGGCAAATGCCAAAATATTTTACATTTCACTTCACTAAATCAAGACAGTGTATTGAAAGTGATAGCTTGTCTTTGAACAACTAGTTGCTAACAATATGCGGAAGAACCTTAAGAGTGTGTCTGACTGATGTTCTTTTATGTTATTTGTAATTTGTGCATATGTTTCTTGTATCTATTGTGCAGCGGTACGCGGATTAAGACCCGCAAACGGAATATTGCTGCACCCCTGGACCCTGCAGCATTTGCTGATGCAGTGGTCCAGATCTATTTGGAGAATGTTGGTGATCTGGTATTTACCACAATGCTCCATCGTTTCTTCTAGGTTTAAACTTAAGCATTATTCTAGATGGTTATTTTTGCTCTTTGATTAACACTTGCTTCATGCAGGAACTTGTTGCCAGGAACATTGAATCTTCAGACCTTAACTTCTCACGATACGGTGACACCTTCTTTGAGGTAAGCTTCTTGATTTCCATATGGAAATATCAAGTTTTGATGTTTTTCCTTTTAAAGGAAAACAATTGATTGTTCTCTGCTATTTCCATTGGATCTTTAGCATAATTCATTAAGAATGATGATCAACTGGAAAAATATATATGGGAAATAATCTCACCATTGTGGCATGTGCATGCTTGGTGGTTAGTGGACTGATGTTTTGAGGCTAACACTTGATTTACTTAATATGCATGCAGTTTGACAGCAGCATCAGGTTTCCTAGTAAAACTTGATACTGGTGATTATTATAAAGAGCATAAATGACAAAACTCATTTTTCCTAAACTTGATTGTGGTGTTCCTCCAAATTATTGGCCTATGTATCTGCTAGATTGTGAAAGTGTCCTTTTTTATATTTTGTGCTTGTTTTCATGCTAATTTAATGTAGTCGGTGGCAAGTACTTGTAATATGAGATGACTTCTTGCAATTTTTCTATCTAAATCGGTCTTGTCTCTTTCATTAACACTTGAATAAACTAATGTTACATAAGAAAATGCCTAAAATTCTTCAACCAAAAAATATTCAAGCTATGTATTCCTGATGTTTGACCAATTTTGAAAGCTCTTTGAATATGTGTTGTTCTAATTGATTGCTTCCTCCTGTTTTCCTTGGTGAAAATTAGTTATACTGCTTTGAAGCGATCTAAATGGGCAATTGCAGGTTGTTTTCACTGGAGGCCGCACACAACCAGGCACAATTAAACCTGATGAGGGTGAGCGCCACCCTTACTCCATAATTGAGTGCGAGGCTAAACGTGAAGCCATTTTCCCATCTGTGAGCTATATACAGAAAATCTTGCGCCGGAGGCCTTTTCTGATAAAGAATCTTGAAAATGTTATGCGAAGACTCTTGCAGTCGTTGGAGCTTTTTGAGGAAAATGAAAGGAAGAAGCTTGCAATTTTCACAGCACTTGCTTTCTCCCAGAAACTATCAGGGCTGCCACCTGAGACTGTGTTCCAGCCACTGCTCAAGGATAATCTTGTGGCAAAAGGGCTAGTTCTTTCATTCATAACAGACTTCTTCAAGGAGTATCTGGTGGATAATAGCCTTGAGGATTTAATTTCAATTCTGAAGCGAGGGAAAATGGAGGACAATCTCCTGGACTTCTTTCCATCCGCAAAGCGATCTGCTGAAGGTTTCTCTGAGCATTTCACGTAAGTTTTGTGGTTAGAGATAGAGGAATTGTGTCACTTATAATTTTTCTGCTTGTCCTGAATTTCAGTGCATTTGGTTTCCAAAGTTATATTGGGGTTTGAGATCAACTGTTTTGGTTCTTGTTGAAAAACAATAATACCTTTGTTGGGTTTGACGTCGATGAATTGTAGTTGACTTTTGTCCTATTACACAAATTTACTTGTGGGCATAGTTTTTCTTGGTTGAAACAAGTATTTGCTTGTCTTGACTATACCAATAGTAGGCTGTAGAAATGTTAATGACTTAAGTGTTACTTCATGATTGTCTAAGATAATTGAACCTTTCTAGATTATGGGTTTAATGTGTTTGATTACAAATGTTAATGTCTAATTTTGATTATGATTTGGCTGTTTGAGAAATATCCAATGAGGGTGTGCTTGGTGCACAGGATAAATAGATAAGAAATGGTAAGAATAATGAGATGATGAAGAAGTGGACACAATTGTTGATTAAATAATATCATCCTATCCTATTTTTAGTGAACACCAAGCAAGGCATAGGTTGATTTATCGTATTTATTCATCATCCAATCGAACCAAATGCACCCTTAGTTTGTTAGATATGATCATGACGATGTTTCAATGTCTGGTTGTATCTTTGGTTTGCAAGTGAATTCATGCTGTGTATTTTTATTTAACTGTTTTGAATCTTATTCTTTGTCCGATTATGTTGATTTTCAGCAAGGCAGGGTTGGTGCCTTTGGTTGAATACAATGAGAAAAAGTTATTTGAGGTGAAACTGAAGGAAATGAAGTCTGCTCTGACAACCCAGATTGCAGAGGAATCTGAGATATCTGAAGTCATTGAAAATGTCAAACAACGTGTTAAAGATGCTAAATTACCTGATATAGAGGTTGTACGGATTTTGTGGGATGTAATAATGGATGCTGTTCAGTGGTCTGGGAAGAACCAGCAGCAGAATGCCAATGCAGCTTTGCGACAGGTAAACATTTTGTCTGTTGCTATATCTGTTTTTCTGTTAGCCATGTTTGCTGGAAAGTCAATGACTTATAGGAGATGCAGGCATTGAGCAACACACTAACCTAATGGCTCAAACCCTAAGGATTAAATGCATGCCTGGTCTTTAAGTATGCCCAATGAAAATGGATCTAGCAGTTTAGAACATTATTGATAACAGTTTCATTATTGTGAAGACTCATGCAATGCTAATTATGTTGATTCTCATGATAAAGGTCAAAACATGGGCAAAGCTGTTAAATTCCTTCTGCACCAGTGGAAAACTTGAGCTGGAACTTATGTACAAAGTTCAGATGCAATGCTATGAGGATGCTAAATTGATGAAGCTATTCCCTGATATTGTAAGGTCTCTATATGACCAGGATGTCCTTGCAGAAGATACCATTCTTCACTGGTTCCGCAAAGGAACAAACCCTAAGGGCAGGTATGCATTATTTTCCTATTTGCTGTCATATCATTGAGAAGTGTGATGTATTATCAGTTCTTCTGCTTGGCACTTGAGCGACTGGTCAGAATGTATAGTAATGAATCAGAGTACTGAATACTCATTTTTTTGAGTTAAGTTGAAGGTTTGGTGTTTATCTTTTGTTCATTCATTTTATGTGGAAATGAAGGCTAGGTCAATTTCTGCATTATCCAACCCCAGTTTTTGAGGTTGTAAAAGGCAGTAACTGCCTTTTCTATCTTGTTTTTAGAGCTATAAATATTTCTTATGAGTGTGCTGCATCCTAATGTGTGTGTGTGTGTGAAACTGTTGGGCTGTGAACCATGTAAATAATTATTTTCTTACTGTCTTTTTCTGTTTCCAGAACTCTATGCTCTAAAATGTACTGTAAATATTGCAGGCAAACCTTTGTGAAGGCACTGGAGCCCTTTGTGAATTGGCTGGAGGAAGCAGAAGAAGAGGAATAAGTGCGATAACAATAATATTATGATCACTTTGAAAGGAAAAAGAGTGAACCCTGTACTTGTTCCTTGTGTTTAATTAGCTATGTGTTGCTGAGACAATGAACTCATAATTGGCAGATGCTTCTACACATTGGGTGTGCCTGTTAAAAGCAAGATTGATGGATTATTACTTGCAATAAACAATGTGTTCTTGTACTATGTCTATGTTAGATGCGTTTATATCTCATTACTGGGGAATTGCATCTCTGGTTTGGGATCAAAAGAGGCATCATCCAAGTAATTTGCTTGCATCATTGCATGATTTTAGGTAGTATGCTCTAGACTCTAGAGATTGGTATGCATGTGATTTAGAGTAGAGAATATCGATTTTGCTATGCATGCTTGCTTTAGATGATTTGTATTTATACTCGTGGCCTTAGTTTCAATCCTGTAATATTATTTCTGGGAGACAAATAGAATGATTCAAGTTCTTTATATGGAGTTATAAGTTTAAAGACACTTGCAAACCTCTGTACACTTAAAACTAATGGAGGGTGAGATGGAGAGGTTAAATAGAACAATGTGTCAAGGCCCTTCCAACTCTACTCCTCTTCACTAGACCTGCAAATCAAAATCAACACTGGTTGAGATTCTTGCAATGATACAAGTAGAAATCATCAAACTTTTAAGTGCTAAGTCGCAATTCGATTAAATATTATGAAATACTATGGTTCCAAACTAACCAACTATTTGAGTTGACATATTATTAAATACGAGAGTGGATTTGAATACATGTAGAAATGGGCCGATTGAAGCCCAAATTGAATATGAGCGCAGACAGGGCATGGGCATTCGTCCTTGCCTGGGTATACAAAAATATTATTCTACCGATTATCTCTACCAAAGGTAACAAACTATAAAGCACAACAGCATATACAGCAGGAGAACAGAAGAATGGCGCTCACTTTTGCACTCGGACCTTACTCATCTTCAGTAATCTGCAGAGCCACCAACATCAACAAACACTACCACGCGCAAGACTTATCCTACATCCGACGCGCCGCTGACATATCCGACAAGTCGGCGGGCTTCACCTTCCCGCACCCGAATTTCGGATGCGTCATTGCCACACGCTCAGGTGAGGTGGCCGGGGAAGGGTACCTGTATGCCCAGGGCACAAAGCCGGCGGAGGTGCTGGCGGTTGAGGCCGCCGGTGAACGGTGCAGAGGCGCCACTGCTTACCTTAACATGGAGCCAGGAGATTGCCATGGGGATCACACTGCTGTATCCGCTCTTGTTCAGGTTTCAATTTTTGGTTTTTTTTTTTGTCGTTTTTGCTTTTGTCTTTTCAAAATCGAGACAAGGTTGTACTTTTACTACTTACATTTTTAATTGTTTGTATTTTCGTTTTTCCAAAGAGTAAAAAGTTGCTAACATGTAAAAGCAAGATAGATGAAGTGGAGAGATAAATAATATAATAATTTGGGTATATAATTCAAATTTTAGGACTTAAGGTTTAATGTCTCTTATTCGCACTTTTGGGATTATCAATTTTTTCAGATTTTTGAGCATTTCCCTTTGGGTTAAACATGAATTAACGGCTACAAATGTAATGCACATTACAAATATACTTGTTTCATATGAAAGTAAAGCCATGCTTTTTACCATAGAGAAAGTTAAAATTTTAATTTTTATTCTTTTATTTTAGTATTATTATTTTTTACCATCCAATCATACGGTTTTCCCAGTAGCATCAATAATAACCAAATAGAGATGACCAACATACTAAAATTTTGTTACCCTGCAAGTGGTTTATAATTGAATGTAATTTTGTGCATTTAGAAGGATCCATTTAATTAGTTTTATACTTAAATTTGTATGTTTATAGGTAGTTTTGGTATCTTTAGAGGTGTTTGGTCGAACCTAAGGTGTAAATTGACACTCAAGTGTAAAGGAACAGAGGGCTGATTGCTCGAACCCAAATTCCAGAGGGACAGTTGCTTGTTCTTAGGTGCAACATTAACTCCACTACAGTTAAAGATGAAATGAAATTGAATACTTGATAGCTACATTGTGCGTCAAGAAAGGAATCAAAGATTGCATTTTCCTGAAGGCTGGACCACTTATGCTTGTTTCTAGAGCCACAATTGACTGATGACATTAGGAATAGAATTAATATTTTTTATACAAGGGTTAGATAATTCTTTAATTTGGAGCCTTTGTAAGTCCTAGAGACTTGATTAATATTCCTTAAGTCTTGATTGCTTTAATCCGGTGTTTATAATTTTATCTTGGTTCTTTATATTTTGTTTCCGATCTCCATGATCAGTTTCTAGCAGTTTCTTCTGCTGTTGTAGCTTCACTTGGACAGAGACAATTTCTTTTCTTTTCTTTCCTTTCTTTCTTTCTTTTTTTAATTTTCTTATTGTTCTGTCAGTTGCCAGATCATTGATATTCTTTAGATTAGGCAGGAATCACAAGAGCTGTTGTTGGAATCAGGCATCCTCTGCAGCATCTGAGAGGCAATGCCGTACGTGCATTAAGGAGTCAAGGTTTGCAGGTTGATGTTCTTGGAGAGGATATGCGAAGTAAAATTGTGGAGGTATGATTTTTAAACTGCATGTGGGGCATGTTTCCTTTATATGTTTTTGGTTCTTATGCCTCACAAATCTGACTTGGAAGAGTCTTCATATCATTAAGTTATTAACATAGTAAGGTACACATTTCTTTCTTCATTTCTCCTCCTATTTAATTAATGTTCCTCACTTGTATGAGATATGATCTCTTAACTATAATTTAACTTACATCTGCTACATGCACCTGGATGTGTTTGTTTTAATTGAAAGACGTATTATGTGCACTTGTAGTTCCGTTCCTCTTTTATAGGTCTGCTTACAACTGATATTTGTGGATCATAAGTGTCTGTTCTGTATCATTTGGGTTTCCTTTGGGATTATGTACAAACTTGATCAATGTGTTGTTTTATCTTTGTCAGAGGAAAAGAAAAACACCATGCTTTATCGCTGTTTAAAGAATATAAAGTGTTGTTCTCTTATTAAAGGTTTAAAGTTGAACGGCAGATTCAAAGTGTATGCAACAATGTCCTTTATCAATTATGAGGAACACAACTTCTTGATAAATTCTCCAATTTTTTTGATCTGATTTGAGTTATGACTTCCAGAAAACAGAATTTTAGAGAAGAAAGGGAATAGGATGCCTAATGTTAGGAAGGCATTGACTTGGATAGCAAACTGTTGCTGGGCATTGAAAGTATCTTGAAGATTACAATCTTTAATGGTTAGTTAGAGAGGATTTGTCTATTACATTATGTCAGATAGTATAAGGAGAATGTGAAGTGGAGAAAATTTTTGCTAGAAAGAGTATTGTGCAAGTCAAACAGCATGCAGAGTTCAATGAATATATTACACTCTGCTGCGGCTGTATTTGTGTTCATCATCTAATGTTTCATATTAAGACTTGTTCTTGTGTTCTGGTGCTGCCTATCAAATCAGCAGTGCTTATATTATCCTTAATATATCTTAACTTTGTATTGTAGGAAGCTCGAAAGGCATGTCTCCTTGTCAATTTACCTTTGATTTATAGAGCTGCTTCTCGTGTTCCATTTTCTGTTCTTAAGTATGCCATGACCCTTGATGGTGAGTATTATGCATTAAACAAATTCAATTTTCATATTAACTTCCATAATTTCTTTAACTTAGAAGGGTGAATTAGAATATTATCATACTATTTGAGCAAGCTGTTAAATTGCATGGATCACATCTGACAATCTTTCTTGGAGGTAATAGGAAAAATAGCTGCGAGCAGCGGTCATGCAGCATGGATAAGCAGTAAGTTGTCTAGGAATCGAGTGTTTGAATTGCGGGGTAGAAGTGATGCCATTATAGTTGGAGGAAATACTATGCGTAGGGATGGTAAGTATCATCAATACCTACCTCTGCGCCTTTGGTGATAATGTGGTTGATTAAGCTCAGAATGTTGCTGTATTATCTTCTAATTTATGTTTTCAAGTAGACCCTAGACTGACGGCAAGACATGGAGGTGGGCATATGCCAATTCGAATTGTAATGTCGAAAACGCTTGATCTTCCCAAGGAAGCAAATCTTTGGGACCTATCTGAGGTTTCCACTATAGTTGTAACACAAAGGGGAGCGAGGAGGAGTTTCCAGAGATTTCTTGCATCCAAAGGAGTCGAAGTAGTGGAGTTTGACATCTTAAACCCTAGGGATGTAATGGAATATTTTCATGACCGTGGGTATCTCTCCATTTTATGGGAGTGTGGAGGGACTCTGACTGCATCTGCTATTTCGTCTGGTGTAATACACAAGGTTATTGTCATCTTCTCTTATTTTGTTTTTAGTTATGCTTTACTTTAAATGTGTGGTTGTTCTTCAGCTGGATAGAACTCAAAATCATACTGAGATACTAGTATGGGATTTTTTCTAGAACTTCTTCTAAGATAGATTAAGGATAAGTTGGTTTCTCTTTCGCATCTGTTCAGAGTGATGTTTATTGTCCTCAGCTGTCAGTTCTATGTATCAAGAATTATAAGAGAACTGGATTTCAGTGGTGTTTCTTGTCTGCCTCTTTGAATAATTTGAAACCATGGCAATGTTATTAATTACTCATTTGGCATCTCATAAAGTGTTGGCCTTCTCTTTCAATAGAACATCAAGTCTCAGGTTCTTTTGATATGATCATTATCATTGTTATGATTTATATCTTTTTTATAACTTGGAATGTCCTCTTTTTCCCTTGGACGAAAAGGTCATTCAACTAATAATAGTAGTTTACACCCCAACATCTCTATCTAGACACCGCTGCCTTCTTCAGGAAAGTCAGCTATTTGTCAGTTGCTAACCAATGTGTGCCCTTTGTTCCAATTTTCTAATGGAAGCTTTTGTCTGGGTTATGAATCAAGAATTACACATCTTAGGGCATAGAGATTTAATTCCAAATATTGCTTCTGATAAAGAGTCATCAATCAATTTTTTTTGGCTAACCAGTCATTCATTTATTTATTGCGTCATTGTTTTGTCCTTCTGGTTGTAGGTTTTTGCATTTGTTGCCCCTAAAATTATTGGTGGGAAGAACGCGCCTTCTCCTGTGGGTGAACTTGGGATGGTTGAGATGTCACAAGCACTGGATTTGATTGATGTTTGCTTTGAGCAGGTTGGTCTCTTGAAAGTTTTGTTCACTGTCCCTTTTTTTTTTTCTTATCAATTGTATTTTATGCTAGGCACTTATTGTTATTTTAAGTATTGCATCCATCCTCCTCCCACTCCCAGTTTCTTACCTAAATAATCATATCTTGAATAATATATATCCCTGCCTACTTTATATCTTGTTGGTATAGATGGTTCCTTGTATTTGGTTGGTCTTGTTACCGCTCTCCTACTTGGTAACCAATCATTATTTAGTGTCAAACTTGCTTAAGAAAAGGGTAGAAGAGAAATAAGGATTAATAAAAAAAGAAAAAGAAATTTATTGGTGAAGAGTATGATAGGGTAGTAACTTGATAACAGCAACAGCAACAATAAAAAGGGTAACAAACAGGAAATGTGATTCTAAGTTTGACGAAAAGATTTGCATTGTTTTCCTTTGGAACATTGTTTGGTATGACAAGATAAAAGGCAAGCCAGAAATTGTAGTCTTCCCTCTTTTTTCCTCAATTAGGTCTGGGGAAGTCTTCTTCAAGATCAATGTGTCCCACTTTTTATTTATCTATTTATTTGTTTCTGTAGATGTTGTGAGGGAAAGAGACATTTGCTACAGGGATGACATAAAATGCATTTCATATTATTCCATGTTTTAATTAGGTTTCCAGTTTGTTTGTTTTGTCTTTTAGAAGACGCACGGATGCATTTCAAACTAAATGGACAAAAATTGAAACATCTATTGCCTAGCTTTTTTTATTAATTATTATTTTAAGTTCAAATATTGGAACATAAGTGATTATTATTATGAATAGTCTCAGCATGCCTCATTTGGCTCTTCTTTTGTACAAGGCCTCTGACTTAATGTTCATGTTTGTGTTTCCTTTTTGGCATTTGAATTACAGGTTGGATCTGATATGCTTATCAGTGGATTTCTTCAGCCTATACCGGATTTAACACCCACTGTTCCTTCCGAAGATGAAACCTTTGCAATTGACCCAACTGTTATACCTTTTGAGCCGAGCATCATTTTCTTCTATAAAACATGGGACCCCTATGGTGCTTTCTCAAATTTTTCTCCTCATCCAATTCAAATGCCCGATGAAGATGATAATTATGTTACTTGGTCGAGTGTAGAACATTATTACCAGGTAATTGTCCTTTATTTGGAAAAACCATTACAGCTAACCTTGTTTAGATTCAATAAAGCTCTCTTGTATTTTTAGGCAAACAAGTTTCTTGGAATCAGTGATCCCATAGCACAGGATTGCATTGAAAAAATAAAATTGGCAAAAAGTCCAGAGGAAGCAGCACGAATGGGAAGGTTAACACAGAGGCGGCACCCTAATCTGGTAAATCTTGGAGGATTTATGTCATCTCATTCTTCTAGTCCTTCGGGTTGCTATTATAGCTTAAAAGTTCGTTCTATAATATTATGACGCAGACACCTATAAATTCTAGTTTCATTTTGACTACTGTTGTACACTCAAGGGAGTTGATGGTTTTTTGAGAAAAGTGGCCCTAAATCATGTGATTTTGAATGCAATAAATTGTTTATGTCTCAGATGGTTTTCGCCTGTTGATGAATTTAACTTTATACTTCAGTATATAATTTTCATTTTTCTCATCTGAGACTTAGTTTTCAATTCTTTTTCTTGATTAAGGTCAATTTTCTTCTGTTGTCTTTTTTATTCTTGTCCTGTGTAACTCATGTGCTTGCAGCATTTGCCTGTGTGTTTGTTTTAGGAGTAGTTAGAATTTTCTATGGAGGGATACTCAAATCTGCTACTCCTTCCGCACTGCATCCAATATTATGGACACCTTGTAGTTCTGGTATTTCACAAATTAACAGCCACCAGAAGGCCTAGAAATTTTTTCTGTGTTTAGCATAAAACATTGTTTATTGGACTGTTATTTTGTTTCCATTAATGATGCCATTCTCTAGACAGACAGTATAGGTATTTGAGAGCTTTAAAATTCGGAAAATGTAAAGTTACCCCAAAGAAAAATATTTGATTTAAATTTTAATTTATCTTATGCCTACCAGCTCGAATACTTTAAATGTGCTCTTTTTGTTGTATAAAAGTTTCAAGCCATGGAAACAGCCTCTTACATACTGGGGTTATGGCTGCATATGTATCTGACTACCTCTGAACACCACAATACAAGAGGCTTGTGCACTAGGCTGCCTCTTTACATGTATACAAATCTGGAGATTGCCGTTCTTCTTGGATTGACTACCATATATTTATGTCCGCAATGCAATGCAGGTAAGATCTGATTGGGAAAGTGTCAAGATCGATGTTATGTACAGGGCACTGAAATGCAAGTTCTCAATATATCCTCACTTGAATTCCATGCTGCTCTCAACTGCTGGGTCGGTATTAGTTGAAGCTTCACCACATGATCTTTTCTGGGGTGGTGGCCGGGAAGGTGAAGGCCTGAACTATCTAGGCAGGCTGCTGATGCAGTTAAGGTCAGAGTTTCTTGGTGAATCATCTGCTGCAGGTGAAAGCACATGCTTAGCTTTATGATGTACGGAAAAAGAAGTGAATATAATGCAAGCTAAAGTTATACCAATAGACCCTTGTTTGATTTCTATGTTGTAACATTACTGTAGTATGTAGTAGCAATATCCCATCATTCTTCACATTTTAGCCAGCAACCAGAATATTATGCTTTTTTGGAAAATTTGTTTTGGCTAAAATATAAAATCAACCCTTGTAACGAGTCCTTGTGTTTTTATTTTATTAAAATCAATTGATCTTCTCATAATTATTTACTATTAATTGAATCTAATTTTTATTTGAAAAAATAATTGGGTAATTGGTTCATTGGTTTCTGCATCTAAGTGAATCATAAACTAACTTTTTATTTAATTAATTAAATTTTATTAAAGAATGAATTCTATCAAGTTAAACTGATAAGAAAAATGATGATTTTGCGATCCCTTTTTTTTTTTCTTCTATATAAAAAAGAAAGCAAGAAATGCTTATTTTCTCATTCTTGGACATTATTTTCTATAAGAACAGCAATGTTTCCAATATAAAGGAAAAAGAAGTCCGAAAGCAAATTGGGCTTAATGCGAAGCCCACAAGCCCATCCAAAAACAAAAACCCTGCAATGACGCCCTCACACTCACCCCTTAAAATCTCAAAAACCTAATCTTCATTTTCCATCTTCGAGCCGTCTCAGAGGAGAGAGGAAGCGAGAAACCCTAAAATGAAGTACAATCCTCGCGTCTCCTTCTCTCGGCGCAAGAACCGGAAGGCCCATTTCACGGCGCCGTCAAGCGTCCGCCGCATCCTAATGAGCGCGCCACTCTCCTCCGACCTCCGGTCCAAATACAATGTCCGCTCCATGCCGGTTCGCAAGGACGACGAGGTCCAAGTCGTCCGCGGAACCTACAAAGGCCGTGAAGGGAAAGTGGTTCAGGTTTACCGTCGCAAATGGGTCATCCACATTGAGCGAATCACTCGTGAGAAAGTTAATGGGTCCACCGTTAATGTGGGAATCAACCCTTCGAAGGTTGTGATCACGAAGCTGAGGCTGGATAAGGATCGGAAGAGTTTGTTGGATCGGAAGGCCAAAGGAAGGGCAGCGGCCGATAAGGATAAGGGTACTAAGTTTACAGCTGAGGATATTATGCAGAGCGTTGACTGAGTGAGAGGTTTTTAGGGTTTTGTTGGAATTTCTAAAGTGGTTTTTTTTTTAATTTATAATGTCATTTGGGATTTTTAGACTTTATTGTCAACTTTGTGATGGCTTAATGTTATGTTTTAATTTCTGTGACAATGGTGGTCTTCTTTTTCTTGGGTGTTTCTATTTTATTTTGTTGTGTGTTTTTTCTTTTAAATTTTGTGTTTAGAATTGAGGTGATGAAATGATTGAAGGGAAGTTATGTGCTTGAATTGCAAATAGTTAGCTAATTGACCAGTTTATTGTGTGATTTTGGGTTCTTGATGTTATGTCCTGTTGTAATTAAGGTTTTTTGTTCTATGGAAATAATTAACTGGTTGGTCAATTTAGAAATAGCATTATTTGTCATGGATTTTCAAGTCCTACTGTTTCTCTGTCTTGTTGGTTTAATTTTGAAACATATGAAAATGGGTAGCCATGATGAGAATGTTTGATTGGATCACAGATTGAGTTCAGTTAGTCAATGGTGAAGATTAAGATTGGATAAGTTTCAATTGAAAGGGCAATTAGTTTTAACTAGGTTGCAGTTCTAGCATATGCTATTGCTTGCATGCCCAGATATTTAGTGTTGGTATTATGACATAGGCTGAGTGATGCTTGCAAGTCACACTTCTCTTTGTTTTCGAAGGAAAAGCATGGTGGGCGGTATTGGTTGCTGACTAGGTGGAGGTAGGGCACTATCTGATTCTTAGAGAAAATGTGGTATTAACTTATGTATATCTTTTAGGATGTTGATAAGCTTGACGTGTGGCAATGGATATGATCGGGTGGAGTTCTGGATGCTTACACTCTTTTTATTGAAAAGAAATAAAAAAGCTCTGTGTTGTGCTGTTGGCTACAAGTTTTGAGGATATTTTCCATAGATTGTTCTGAATCTGGATGCCTTTTTGGTTAAGTTGATGACATTGCAGTGGCACAGAATGAGTAACCTAGTATAACAATGTCCTGTATGATAAATGTATATGCATTTTAGTCAATTATTTTGTATTATCAACTTCCTATACCTTGATTGTTAACAGCTACTATGTAGTTCATACATGTAAGCAGCAACTGCATTGGTTTTGTCTTTAAAGAGACATTTGTTTTGATGGGACACCTTTTGAACATTTTATTCTTTTCAGATGAGTAGCTTCATATGCTTTCTTTATTTGCCAACCTCAACCTGTCGTGCCGATTTTTCACATTCTGGGTTTTCTTATTTGGGTAAACATATATTGATCACTGTTTTACTCAAAACATGTTGCAGTTTTATGGGCAAGATGTTTCTAACAAATGTGACTACAAGGAAAGCTAGTGCCCAACTATGTATACTTTGTGAAGATTTATTTTTGAAGCATGCTAAACTCAAAGAACCTTGATGCTCTGTTGGCAATGGTTTGAACCTTTATCAAATTTGAAATGCAGAATGTGGTGCTTTGAGTCTTGAAATTACGTTGCATCTCCTTGCTGCTTTGTGTGCATTAGTGCGAGAAATACCTGCACAGTTGGATAAGCGGGTTTGGTTGAATGCATACTTTCAAACATTTAAAGACACAAAGCTGTACCCAAACAAACATTTAGAAAATAAAAGGAACAAGAAAATAGGGATGAAATTAGTAGATGGACTTGGTTGTACACAAGCAAATTCCTCTTTGTAACGAATACTGGCATGAAAATCATTTATTAATCTTTTAATGAACAGAAGATTAACACCACTGCAAATAGGGCACAAGGCCACCATCTTTGGAATGCGGAGCAGGCCTTCTGCGCTTTGCTCTTCTTTTTCTTCTTCTGCTTCGGTGGTCGAAGGGCAACTCTGATCGGGCTGCCTTCACATTCTGCTGCGTTTTGGAACCGCACTCAATATAAGCAGATGAACCAATCAGCTTTCTCAGCTCCTCTCCCTGGGCTGCAGAAATGAGCACAGCTCCAGCATGATCAATCAAGAACTGCTTACCGTCCCCAAGATCAAGCTTAGTCCCAACAAGAATTATTATTGGAACACCAGGGGCATAATGTTTCAACTCCGGAATCCACTTCTTTATATTCTTTAATCTAGATATTAGGTATACCATACATTTTGGCTACAGCTAACTTACCATCAATTTTTGTGCAATCAGTGATTGAGTGAAGATAAAATCCAAAGCGGCTCCTTGGACTATTTCAATATTCTCTACATTCCCTATGGTTTATCCAAAGAAGCATGCAAAATCTTTGTGTTTGGAACACCAGTTACACAGTGGAGCTAAAACAGGCATACAGGAAAAAAATTATGAGTGCTAATGGAATAATTAAATTAACACAATTTTATTTGGCAAATGTAGTGAAACAAAAAGAAGCTAATATTGACCCTGAGAACTAAGTGATCGCAAAAATGCGATACCCAGCAAGGAAAGTCTATCCCACATAGACATGAATAAGGCATTTAATTAAGTGAAATCAACATTAATGTGAACTTAAACCAACATTTAACTATATACACAAAACGAAAAGCACATGAAATCTGCTCATAGCTGTAGCATATATACTGCAATACAGACAAACTCAAGAAAAGAGTTATTCTCATAATGGCAAAAACGCAAAGTATTTGTTATGGATTAACAACTAATCAAGTTGCATTAATTAATATCAAGAGTGCCCAAGTTAAATCTGTAAGAACCCTGTCACCTTAACCAAAAATATTAAGCCTGTAATCACTTGGGAGCTATCGTAATGAGTGCAGTACTGCCATGCGGGCAGGTTCTAGGCGGTGCTTAATTTACATCCTCAGTCCCACTGAACTTTCCATCAAAGGATGAGCTTGACTTGGTGAACCAGGGAACTGCAGTTGCCCCTTGGACTTCTGGCGGGAGCTGAAGAAGAAGCGTTGCTTGCCTTTCATGAATGGAAGCCAATAACCCCACGTGGCCAGCAATCAACTTGGGGAGATAATAGCAAACTCTCTTTATCCAAGACCAATCCCCGAAGTTTCTGCATGCCTGCCGCGTAAATTTAGGAAAAAAAAAAATCCCAGATTACTTTCTTTTTTTTTAAAAAAAAAAAAACATGGCGTTGTTCTTAAGCAGTCTTTTGTTCCCTATATAAATAAATACAATCACTACTCTTCTGTAACTCTTATTTCCAGCATCAAGTAAACCAGAAACAGTATCACTCTTTTCATCAAACCTTCACAATGTATTCCCTAGGCGTGGTTTTTGATCCTTCTGATCGAGACATCGTTTCCCACTACCTCCCCATGTTGATTTCTGGTGAATCAATGAGCAGTTTAGGTGATTTGCAGTACGTGATTGGTTTTGCAGACATCTATTCCACCAAACCAAGTGTCTTTTTTGATGATAACAACGGCAATGGTCTCCCCTTCTTGAAAAGCAACCAGCGATTCATCTTCACCCACCGTCAGAGGATTTCCCAGAAGAACGCGAATGGAAAACGGCCAAGAAGGATTCTTGAAAGTCATCACTACGACGAAACGCTAGGAGTTGTTGACAGTGGTGGATATTGGAGGTCTTCAACCGCTGAGAAGCCTATACTTGATGAGCAGCAAAGGGAAATAGGGTTCGTCAGAACCCTTAACTTTTTGGAGTTCAAGGATGAGAAAAAAAGTCGAAAGGATGCCACCAAAACTAGGTGGTTAATGCATGAGTATCGTCTCCCCGGAGACAGGTTCCAAGAATGGGTTATCTGCAAGATCAAAGATACCTCTCGTTCTCCACATGATAAATATTCTGATTCTATTTGGATGAAAAAGTTGTTCGGAAAGTTATTGTTGCCGCATTCAGATAAGAATCATCATCATCAAGATGAATATCAGTCTCAGATTCAGCCATCTACTGTTTTCAATAATGAAAATCTACAAAGTTATGAAGTTGATCAGTTACTAGATGATGATCTTTTTACAGAGGTGGATCAGTTATTGGAAATCGACGACAATCGGATTCAAACTCAGTCATCTACCATTTTTAAGGACGGAAACCTATCAAGTTGTGAAGTTGATCAACTACATGAGAAGAAAATATCAAAAGATGATGACCCTTTTAAGGAAGTGGATCAGCTATTGGAGATCAATGATGATAATCAGATTGCTGATTGCCCTTTCAAGGAGATGGAGCAGTTATTGAGAATGAACGATAATGATCCGATTGCTGACGTAGACGAGGCATTGGCCACGATGAATTTTTATTATTTGTCGGACCTACTCGACTAGATTCAATCGAAATAATTTTGCTTTTGTTTTTTTATTTAGAATTGATTCTTTTTCTTTTCTTCTTTTAAGTTGTAAAGATCTTTTCTCTGAGTTGAAATAAACAGTAATGTTATTACCATAATTTATCAATTATTTTGGATTTATTTCTTAAATTGATTCTACCTGCATGAATATCGAAATTACAACTTTATTCAATGTAGCATGATTTATTAATTTGATGTAGTGTTGCTATCATATTGATTCAACTAACTAATTTCAAGCATGTGATGAAGTAGCAAAACCAAAAGTTCGATTTCGAATCCAATTCTTGAAAGAGCTTGCTTGATTTCGTCAATGAAGGTCCAATTTTCCCGGAGCATGTAGTAATAATATATAATTTGACTGTCACAACAGAAAGGAAAGAGTGGTTCTTTATTACTTCTTAGTGGGAGTTGCCTGTACAATAATTATAAATGGAGATTGCAATTTATACTTTTGTATCTATGAGCATTGATGTGCAATTGAGGGATATTTCTATTGGTTGAGAATTTCATTATAATGAGAATGAAGAAATAGGGGGAAAACTCTTTTAATTTGGAGACTGTATCTCCTTTAACCATTCTTGCCTCATGATTCCATATGAATATTTCTTTGTCCGCCATACAGGTTTATTTTCAACAGTTGTTAAGGATGATTCACGACACTTTACATTGACATGAAAATGCTCTGTTTTATTCATACTGACATGAAAATCACCTATTAATCTTTTAATCAACAGAGGATTACAACTGCATTTACAATTCTGTCTGTACCAGCAATGTATTAGTTGGGAAAATAAAGCCTGACCACCGTTTGAAGTTTGGTGTGTTGCCTCAACTCTGAGGCAGAATGGGTTCCCTGCTAGATGAAGCCACTTGGGAATCCAATCCAAACCATACAGGCAGCTGTAGTCAATTCCTGAGAAAGATTGAGGTTTATTCAATGAGATATAACTTTCTCTCATTTTATTATCTAAAATCATGTGTATCAGAAATTAAGGCAACACAGTCACACTATCCTGTTGACTAAACTCCAATGGTACATTTGTTTCAAGGATATTACAAGTGCATCTTTCCTTAACCAGTCTTAAGGGATTTACAAGGGGGAATTACTTTGGTTTGATGGTATCATAACCAAACTTATTATGCATCCTGAATATACTTTCAAACTCTTTGGTACATTTAAAAAATAAAGAGTGCTTTATTTCGATCAAGATATAAACAAAGTGCTTAAAACACTACACATGGGTAAATATACAAGACCATAAAACTTTGAAGATATTATATTCTTTAATCTAAAAATCATATATACCATACAATTTGGCTTTAGCCAACTGACCATCAATTTTGGTGCAATCAGGACTAAACTTCAATTATATAGTGTCTCCCTTAATATCAGTGAATGAGTGAAGATAAAATCCAATAGGGCCCTTGGCCTATTTCAATCTCTACATTCCCTGTGATTTATCCAAAGAAACATGCAAAATCTTGTCTCCCAATAAAGGGAGAATACTGTCTGGAACACCGATTGCACATCTTAAAAGAACGAAAATGCCTCAAGACAGAAATTCAAGCTCAACAAAGCATAATTTCTCTCATGATAAGAAAACTAGTTACAACTCTTCCCTCAACATAACCCAAACCCCAACCTTATAAAGAGGAAAACAAGAAAATAGAAAGAAAAGAAAAGGAACAAGAAAATAGGGATCCAGACAAATAATCAAGGGAAATTAGTTGATGGACCTAGTTGTACCCAAGCAAATTCCTCTTTGTAACCAATACCTTCACAAGAGGCTTCACATGTGTACACCACGATAGTTGCCCAGTCAAGAGAATGATCTTCATCCTTTACACCAAAGTAATAAAGCAACTGAGGCAAGATCTGAAAAACAAAATTAATGAATAACATCAACAAACAGTTGCAGTAGAACACAGAATAGAGATTTTGTTTTTAGTTGCAAAGTTGAGATTTCAGGGAGGAATGAAATACAATATGAAATTAAATGTGTAAAAAGAAACCTTCCGCGGACTGATTGTTGAGGATCATTAATTCTTTACGTTTTCTCTCCCTTTTAAAACCTGATGATAGATGGTTGGGCTTCTATGAGAAGAAAAGGTTGCTAAGGCATTATTCTAAGATAGACCAAATAAATATTGCTAAGATAGGCACTTCCGTAGCTAGAACTAATATGCTAAATCCTTTCTTCTTAATTTTAGGAGAAAGAAAACTGTATATTATTCTCCTAAAATGTTAGTTCACCTACCACGTTGGCCCAGTACCAAGACAGGGAAGCTTCCTCTATTAGTGAGGAAGTACCAAGGTAAACACACCTAGACAAATCTAGGAAATAGTTGAAATAGTAATACGGTTGAGTTGGTAAGTATTTGCAGAAGATATTCTGTTCCTGAGATGCTGTACTAATATAATTTTAGGGGTAAAATGCATTTACATCTAAAAAAGGGTTCTACAACCACCTATTGAAGACATTCAATATAGACTCATAAAATCACACAATTCTTTTATCCAGTCAATTATTTATGTCCTGTAAATATCACATCACACTATCTTTTAATACGAAATTATGACTAGACCACATATATGTTAACCACAAAATTTTGGAACACTATCTCAAATGAAGCAACTTGCTTTAACACGAACTGAATATAAATAATCTTTTATGAAAAGAATTATATATATTCACTTATAGAAGTTTACGGCCACATTTAGCTAATCTGCATTCAGTCTGGTCAATTTGAATCATAGAGAATGACTACCTTCTCAATCTTTCGTAATCCAATTGAAGGCTTGTCAAAGAAAGGAACAAGCATTTTCAAGTTGCGAGAATACAACTCCTTGCCTGGATTACCAAAGACCATAAATGTTAGTTGATCTCCCTCCTTTAAAAGATAGTGAAACCTATTTGTCATGGCAATTGAAGCATGAAATATCAGCATGTAAGCATCATGCATGCATATGAGAGTGAGATGCCAGGTAGCATTATCTAAGTTTATTACTTAACCTACGGCCTGAAAATTTAACCTCAAGAGAGGTTAATTTTATTTTTTGACTGGTTTTCTTACACTTCATACAAAAAAACTAAAAGACGTTAATAAAGCATAAAGAAAATAGAAACAGAAAAAGTAGATTAAATCCAGTGAGACTACAGGAATGAAATCCTCTCTAAAGACCAAAAGGGAAGGTAATAACATCCACCATGATGAGATGGTAGTTAGAAGTGGTTGAATATGGTATGATTGAGATTAGTAATGACAAACCAAACAAAAAAAAAATGAGGGAGAAAAATGAAAAGGAGTTGAGTACCACAAAGACAATGTAAGTAAAAAGTAAGGTCATAATGAAAAGGAGTTGAATACCACAAAGACAATGTAAGTACACCATATAGATGCGCAACATATAAAGGAGTAGAAACAGTGGTGAAAATGCTAATTGTAATCAGTCTGATTAGTCTAACCTCGAAATCTAATAGTTGGATCCTCAAGGATACAATCTTCAGCATAAACTGCAGAAGTAAAATTCCCTACTTCTAGAGGGGAGAAACGGGAAAAATCAGCAAGTATAAAAAACATACATGTTGAAGCAGATAGTATAAGTTTAGCATATTAATTTAAGCAGCTACTCCAGGAAACTTAACAAAGACTGCAATCTTATTAGTTTGAGTTAAGTAACAGACCATCTCTAATAAACGATTAACATACATGAATTGGGTTGACTCAAGCTCTCATTGGTCGTTAATTAAACCATTTCTAATTGCAATTAACATAGAATTACAATTAAAATAAGCAAATTGAACTTCATCAACATCAGAAACTGAAATTCCATCTCTCTCCCTAGTGTATGGTCCATCATCAACTCTTCAAGATGTTAAGATAAACAAACAAAATTAGCAGATCATTCTAATTTTTGCTTTTCCTTTTCTTTTCCAGCATTTTCTCGGGAACCAAACGGAAAAAGAAACTAAAGTCCGTTACCTGTCTTTGGTGGAAGAAGAAAAGAGTCTTAGCAACTCTATAACACCGCTCACTGCCAATCTTAAAATCAGAGGAGTTTTGGTTTTATTTTCATTTTTCGGAGCAACTGAGCAACACCGTGCACTGTGGGCTCTTTGTAAATTTAACGGTGATTGAGTGGTCGTCCGGTTGATGTGTGGAATCAGATTTGGATAATAAATTCCCGCCATTTCTAACTGAACCTTCCCCTCGCTCTCTTTATCTGTTTTTTTTTAAACCCATGTCAGGAATGTGAAATGACAATAATAACCTTAACTTGGAGAGGACCTTACCTTACGGAATTGAATTATCTTTCAATATATGGAAGTTTGATGTCTTATTTAAAAAGTGATTGTGGAAAAAAAAAAAAATTTTTAAATAAATTTTTATTTTTTTATTATATTAAATTAAATTTTTATATTTTTATCTTAAATAAAATAAATTATTATAATTAATAGTGGAATAATTATTATTAATTTCCATGATCTTGGGAACTAACTTTTTCTCTTATTTTTGTTGTCTGAAGTATCATTTTACTATACTACTTTATATAAGTTGGACAATTATAGGTGTTGTGTCAAATTAAAGCAAATCACGAAAAAAAAAGAACAAGTAGAGTACTAGATTCTAGATATTTTTTAATATGATCAATTATATCAATATGAATTAATTAATTAGGATGAAGTGGAAGGTTGTGAAGAATTGGACAAACATACTTATTATTTGATCAATCTTAGGGCACACTTCAAGCAGTCCCCACTCTTTACCAGCCAGATGTGCTGATAAGTGGTGAGGATTTTATTATAATTATAATTATTACAGAAGCTAGCAAATACAGTTATTAGAAACAAACACCAAGGGTAATCCTTATTTCTTCATCATCTTTATCAGTACTAGGTCCTTCCCAAACTTGTAATATGCTTGCTTACATGGCGCGGCAGCGATACGTGTAATGCATCTCCATTTCACGGCCACACTGATCACAGCACATCTTCCCTGGGACTTCCGAGCTGATGAAAGGCAGTTTAAGGACGCAGCTATGTGGGATGTCTTGTTCTTCCATGTAATATGCGAGTCCTTCAAGGAAACCATGCCTTCTAGCATAGGTTTCCAAATCACCGTGTTTCGATATGATAGCTCGAGCTGTTTCTCCGTCCATTCTGACTATCACATTGGGTCCCTTACAGAATAAAGCCCATCCCCCATCACCGCCATCGTAGGCAAGAATTTTCATCACCTCCTGCATGAAGGGATCATCTTTAGTCAAGGTCTTGCCCTGTCTCATTTTTGTGTAGAGGTACAACATGCTCTGCAGTCGAGCCCAAAAGTGCCTCTCCGATTTGATAACGCGCAAGTTGTGAATCACCTTTTCTGTCCAATCCTTGTCGTTGTTCTTGCCCACGTAAACCATTTCTACGGACTCTCCAATCCTTGCAAGAACAAATTTCAATCCGGTAGTGAACTCCCGGATCCAGTCAATACTTCCGCCACCATACAAGCATATGAGTTTCCCTTCAACAATCTGATACAGTGCATGGAGTTGCGATCAAGAATCAAACACAATTAGAACTAATAGGACATATCGAAGCAGAAAAAGCTTATAGGACTATGTTATATATGCAAGGAACTGAGGGTGGATCATTTACCCATTGTCGTAACTCTGGATCAATCAGATCATCAACAAGGAAGTCAAGTCTCCAATCGTATCTTTTACGCCAGAGATCTTTCACTTTCTCAGCAGTGAAAGGAACAGCCTCATTCCCCCACGTCCACAACATAGGGAGTGCACTTTGGCATGCCACCTTACCTTCTGGAGTCAAGAACACCGCGAATGGATTCTTAATAAAATGCCAAACCTCCTTGATGTATTTAATGACCGCTGGGTCAAGAATGGCGGGCATATCAGTATACCATTTCATGGATGATTTCAACTCCACAAACTTCTTCTTATCGTACAGCCCGTACACAACTGGGAGCCAGACCACCTCATAGCCCTCTCCCTTCAGGTACAACTCATTAAGAACTGTAATCTCTTGGAGGGAGATGTCAAGGTCTGATATGAGGAATAGCACATGCTTGCTTCTCAGTTTTTCAATATCAACCTGTTTGTATCCAGCAGAAATTTACTACTGTTATACATCCAATTTGAAACAAGACTAGAAAAATTGCAATGCACTCGGAAAGAGATCCCGGTGTTAATGGAGGACAAAAGCCAACCTTCTCCATGTTGCCGTGGGAAAGGAATCTGTTGAGAATTTCCACGATGTCTGCTCCTTCAGGTCTTTGCATAAGTTTCACCAGGCTCTGATAAGCATCTTCCATCTCCTTACCTGCATCACGTTGTGATATTTTTTTGTAGTAAAAAGAGTTTTTTTGTAATTAATACTTGTTGTATTTCCCATAAAAATGATCTTATTTGCGTACCTAGAATTATTTTGAAAAGTCAAAATTCGATTTAAAATTTCTTAAATTGTGCTATAATTAAAATTAAAAATAGTGTATAAGACGGAAGGAGCAGTAAATATATCTAAATATATATAAAAGACGAGGACTCACCAATATACTCTTTGCAACGCTTGAAATGATACATAAGGAGATCATGTATCTGGCTGACTTCAGTTTCCAAGCGAATTGCCAATGTTTTCCCTGTCTCCATGCTTAATGAAGTGCTCCTGAAATCAAAAGTAATTAAAAGATTGGCTAACTAGCCAACGGCCATTGATTTGTAAAATCTTATTATTGCATGCATTAAGAAATGTAGCTGTTGATATATAGCTTACTTATTTCTTCGGCCTATAAGGCTTGCAATTTGTACAACACTGTGAATTGTCCAATATGCAGCCCGAATGATTTCCAACTTGGCTTCTGAGATTGGCGACGTGTCTTTTGAAAAATACCAAGGGTGTACCTTCATCATGAACTTAGCATTGCAGCTTGCTAAGTTCCTAATGGCCTGGATGAGTTTACCAACCTCAGATCCCAGTAGGTCAAAACGGTCGATTTCCGGAACTTGCCTGAGGAAAGCCACAGAAGTCGCTAGAGAATTTGTATTGCCACGCTGAAGAAGCAGCCAGGACTCCCCAAGATTCATAGTAAAAGCAGCCAAGGCTAGCACCACTTTCGTGTTCCATGAATAGGTTTTAAGCATTTCCAGCAGTTTCATTGTCGTTGCATCTGTATTTTCTCCTTCTGAGCAATTGCAAGACAACTACAAAATAGACCAACACAAAGTTATATCATCACAGATCACCATGGTGAATTGCACTCTAATTAATTTACTTGTTATATAAAATTTTTAAAGTTTTCATCGAAATATTGGATAAAATTTATCATTTGTACGAAAATTTGACTAAATGTCATGTGTTCGGTTCTCTTTGTATTTTGCTGATATATATTCTAACATGAGTGAGGCAATGTAGTCCCAATTACCTCTATCATGACTGCAAGAGCAATCAACAATCAAAAGAGTTAAAACGTTAACAGCGGGCAGGCAACAAACACAAACCTCGCCAGAGACATTACGAATATCAGCCAACATTGATTCGAGCATGCTATGATCAAATGCAGGCGGCAGGCTGGTTCTGCTCTTGGAGGTAACCCTGCGTCCACGTGCAGTACCCTACAGCAATTCGAAAAAGGTTATCAAGAATTCTAAGTGCCAACAACCATTTTAAACATTTGTTTGATCAACTAAAGTATACCTAACATTAAATCCAAAGTAAGAATAGCAACTAAAACGTACTTTGATATCTCCTTCAACGTCATCCAAAATTTTCGTCATAGAGAGGAGAATGGGCTGGACGTCAACGGCCTGCTGGTCGTCATTGGCATCAGTTGCACGAATTTTATCCAACAGTTGGTCCGATGTCTTTGAGGACAGGAGTGCAGACAGTGTTTCCATACTTGGAATAATGTGGTAATCAAGGAGCAATTTAGTGTATAATGCAAATGGCACTTAAATTTGCTTGCTTTTGTCTGGCGCTGCGGTGCCACTTATATACACCACTAAAAGTTTACAAAACTATAAGAAACAGGCAGGCATCTTTAGAACAGGCATATCTTATCCAATTACTTTTGCCAAATCTCCCACATGAATTTATTTTAATTAAAATAAATTTGCTAACCATTTTGAAGGACAAATCATACATTACGTAAGGCATAATGACACCATTATGATGAAGTCATATGATACTAAAAGTGTCATTGAATGGGTTGCCCAGGACTCAAGTTTTCATGGATTCAAAAGATGTCATTTGACAATTGAAGCATATGCATTGAAGACTTAGGGTTTATCCAATTAAAATTTTCAAGTATGAGTCATCAAATTCGAGATAAGATTGAGGAGAATAAATTTTTATGAAACTTTCCACACCTAATAGCATAAATAAGGGTTTGTAAAGTCGGTTTACGCACACAAGTCTTAAGAGAGAAGTCTTTGAAGGATAAGCCTCCAAAGTTCCCGAAGACAAGGCTTTAAAGTTCCAAGAGAAGGCCAACAGAGAGGACCCTGAAGAAGCAAGGCTTCAAAATTCCATGACAGGTGATCCAATAGAGAGGACTCTGCAGGATCAAGGTTTGAATTTAGTTCCACGACAAGTCCAATGAAGAAGACTCTAAAAGAATCAACTACAAAGAATTAAAAAGGCTTCCGAAAATCCAAGACATTATCCAATAGAAAGAAACACTATGGAAAAATCAAGTTTTCCAAAATTCCAAGACAAGTGCACCAAGGCTTCAAAGTTCCAGGACAAGTCTGAGAAACAAGACAAATCTCATGAGAGGAGAGAATATCATAAAGCAAACCGCTAAAGAAAGATTATGAAGAATTAGAGATATCGAAGGATTGAATGCTATTTTTTTAATGAATAATGCATTATCATTTAATTTTAATGTTGAAGTATATTTTAAAATATTAATATAATAATAATAACTTAAAATATTTTTATAATTAAATATTATGTAAATGGGTGAGAGTGGCCTTGGACTAGGCTTTAAAAATTGTAGTTTTGATGGGCTCGTTTGAAGCCTAGCCCCTCAAAATTCCAAGAACTTTAGAACAGAGAAGATCTCAACTCTCGAGCCTTCAAAATTCCAAAGTCAGCAGGAACAACAACTCATCCGCTTAAACAGACCATGTCCCTCCTCGAAAGGAACTTGAGGGCATATTCAACACAACCACACTTGACAGCTCTGTGCAGTTCATACCTCTTTCGCCATAATAACTTACAAAACACATATATTAATCTACGAGCTTACAGGACATAGGCAGATAATAGATTCCTACAAGTAGAACTGGAGTGGGGCATTACCTTTCTCCCCCATTGCCGACAACCCAAAAATATTTTATCAGGTCCCATGAGATGGGTATAATTTGGAAGAGTGCTGATCACGCACGTAAGAGCTGACGCCTTCACATAAATAATTTCCAGTCCGGTTTTTGAAGCCTTAATGATTACAGCCTTTAGTGCTTTTTGTCTTTAGCGGGAAATAAATATAGATTCCTCCCAAAGTAGAAAGAAATGAAAAGCACGTGCTTTTTACAAGTGATAATACTCCTACCCACTTTTTATAGTGCGTTGGGTCGCTTGGCTTTTATATAAAAAAGACAAAAAGCATAAATGAGACACGTAGAATACATGCCATGGGCTATAGCCACCTAAATGTATTAATGGTGAAGGTGGGTTGGATCAACCCTAGAAGATTAATTAAGTCAGAATTATTAGCTGTAATCGTGCCAAAAAGTAATTCAATAGAATTCTATATTTTTTTTTTTTCAAAAACAGATTGTGTAAAGTGTTTGGATGTGTTCAAATTCTTCATATTCAAATTATTTTGAATTCGGAGAAATTTGAAATGTTTTGAGTTTCATATAAAATAATTTCGTAGAATAAGATTAGTAATATCAGTAATTTGATGAATATCTTACATTGATATTATGTATTATTTCAGTAATTTTTAAATATAAAATTTGATAAAAGAATAGCGAAAATTAAAATTGACAAATACCTATACAAGAATATTTACATTCTAACTAGTACCCGAAATTTTATATTTTGAGCTTTCCAAATTTGATTAAATTATTATTTATCTTTGAAGCCTTCTTTGTCTTTTATTACCAATTTAATATATGTTTGATTAAAAACTAAAATTAGAGGTTTAACCCATAAAATGAGTTATTGGATTAATAATTGTGAGGAGAAAGCAGCTTAAAAATGATCTAATTAATAGGCATAATTTTAATACTTAAGGAATTACTTTTGATTTAATTAATTAGAGAATAAACTGAAACAGAAAGTTATCAAAAAGGGCCATGGAGTTAGCTAAAACAATTCACTATATAATTTCATCACCATATGGAACTAATTAGAAACCAAACCTTCATTTCTACGGTTCCGGACATTGAAATTCCCACAAGTAAACATGGGCGGTTCTACCGAGCATATAGTAATGCTTCCTTTAATGGCTCATGGCCATCTTATTCCTTTTCTTGCGTTAGCAAGAGAAATTCACCAGCGAAAAGGCTTCACCATCACCATCGTCAGCACTCCTCTCAATATCAAATATCTTCGCTCAACTATTTGCAAAGACTCTAGCTCAACAACTGATCTTCAATCAGCCATCCATCTAGCTGAGCTTCCTTTCTGCTGCTCTGGCTTACCCCCCAACTCTGATAACACCGAGAACTTGCATGTGGATCAAATCGGTACACTCCTCCGCTCGACGATTAGCCTTGAAACCCCATTCCACCGCTTATTATTGGATATCATTGAGAGAGATGGGAAGCCTCCTATGTGTGTAATATCAGACTTTTTCATGGGGTGGGCGGTGGATGTTGCAAAGGCTGTAGGCACTTCTAATGTTACATTTACACCTCTTGGTGCTTATGGCACCCTGGCTTATTCGTCTTCATGGTTAAATGTCCCACATGGCATCATAGATTCGGAAGAATTCCATTTGCCTGGCTTTCCTGATACATTTCGTTTTCCTGTATCAATCCTGACTCCAAATCTACGGATGGCTGATGGCAATGATTCATGGTCAAGGATTATTCAACCGCAGATTTTGAGTACTTTCCAGTCTTTGGGGTACTTGTGTCACACAGTTGAAGAACTTGAGCCTCTTGCGTTAGCATGGCTGAGAAAATACACAAATCTTCCTGTTTGGCCAGTTGGTCCCCTTCTACCCCAAACCGTGCTGAATAATTCATCTCCTTCAGGTTCTTTCATTTCCAAACAACGCACGGGAAAAGAGTCTGGAATATCTCTCGAGAGATGTCTCGAGTGGCTTGATTCGCATCGTCCTGCTTCAGTTCTTTACATATCATTTGGCTCACAAAACGCTATCAGTCAGTCTCAAATGATGAACTTAGCCACCGGTTTGGAGAACAGCAAAACCCCTTTCATTTGGGTAATAAGGCCTCCACGAGGTTTTGACTTGAGAGGTGAATTTAAAACAGAGTGGTTACCGGAAAATTTTGAAGACCGGATGAGAGAGAGTAAGCAAGGGTTGCTGGTGAAGAACTGGGCTCCCCAATTAGAGATTTTGATGCATAAGTCTACTGGAGCATTCCTGAGCCATTGTGGATGGAACTCGGTGCTGGAGAGCCTGAGTTTAGGTGTTCCAATCATAGGATGGCCTTTGGAAGCAGAGCAAATATTCAATTGCAAGATGCTGGTGGAGGAAATGGGTGTTTGTGTAGAGTTGACAAGAGGAGCTCAAAGTACTATTGAAGGGGGAAAGGTGGAAAAAGTTACACAAATGGTAATGGACAAGGAAGGAAAAGGAGGGGAGATGAAAAGGAAGGCTGTGGAGACAGGGAAGAAAATAAGGGCAGCAAAGAGACAGGAAGGGGAGGAGAAGGGATCTTCCATTAAAGCTTTGGATGATTTTGTTGCTGCTATTATTGCAATGAGACAGCGGCCATGTGTTGGTTCCATGAGCAATGAATAAAGTTATTGTATTTGTCGTCGAGATAATCAAAAGAATTCAACTATTGCTTCTCGATCATATGCCCAATAATAGTGATCATAAGTATTATAAATCTATAATTTAGAGAACCAACACTTTTCCGGTACTTCACCTACTAATGATTGTTAATTTCTAGATCAAAGTATAAAATTCCAAATCCCTCTCATGGTTGATCTTGTTTAATTAGTATAAATAGAAAGCCTCTCACTTACGTAACTGCACTGTGAAATACATATCTGTTCGTTTGGGTTTAACCTTGAAGATTAAAGATTAGAGACAAGGATTCTTTGGTTATTAACTAAATAATATATTTCTGTGATATAGTTAATAATTTAGTTAGGGTGCTCACATATAAGATCGATTAAGGGTTCCTCTTCCTCCCTTAATCTTTCCTTGGTGTATGTCTTGAATTAATGGGTTTTGCCCAGGAGAGGGTGAAGCCAAGTAGGCCAACTGCCCTTGGACACATCCTGGGTTTTAATGGGTCTCATCCAGCAGCTTGGACCAAGTCAACCAATCTCTTTTCATCTCTAAATTTGCTTCTGTATATTCCTTGTCATAACTATACCTAAAAGGGGTGATATTATCTTATATAGCAGAGGAACAATCTGATTACTCACAAATAGCATAGAAGCAATAAATAGTAAATTCATTAGTATTTACCACAACCATACAATTCGACAATGATAAACTATTATGGGTTTAACCAACAATTAAGCTGCCCAAAGCAGTTTATGTTTTTGATCAAAAAGTATAGAAAATAAACCTAGTGTCAGAGAATCAGTGAAGTTCCTTGCGAATGATTTGCTGCTAAACTAATAGCTGCACAAATACGACAACCATGTTCAATGTTGACCCTATAATTAAAAAAATACTCTTTAACTTTCATTACTCACTGAATCTCTTTGTGAGAACGGCGGAAATGAAATCATCCAATGCTGTAATGGAAGATCCCTTTCGTTCTCCTTCCTCTGTAACCGC